CTTTATTACAAAGTCTTTCAAGAATTTGGCATATCCCGGCATTTGTTCTAGAGCTTCAACTAAAAGCACATTTATGGACAAACTTTTTCATCATATCAATGAATTTCTTGAACTGATTCTCGTTGTTTTGTTTTGCGAGCCTTTGAGGATACGGTGGAGGAGGCCTTGGCAAGGGAGCCTTGGCTTTGGTCACTACCATTTACGATATGTCTATCACGTGTTCCCTAGACAGGTTCACATCATTTTGTGTCTCATCCACGTTTTCATCAATGTCTATCCTCACTTCATCATTCACATTCTCATCATTCACATGGAAATCATTGCTCGGTTCATCATCATCTTGCACCAACACATCATCACTTACAACATTTCTTTGATTAGAGGTACTAGCAACTCTACCCTTATCACTTCTTGTAGTCACCACCATCGCATTGCCTGTATTGTTCCCACCCTTAGGGTTTACTACCGTATCACTTGGTAGTGCCCCCTTAGGGCGATTATTCAAAGCTTGAGAAATTTGGCCAAGTTGGACTTCCAAGTTGCGGATGAAAGTGTTGTGGGAGGCCAATTGGGCATCGGAGTCAGCGATTTTCTTCATCATTTGCTCAAAAATGGATCAATTCATCATATCTCATGATTGGACGAGCTATGACCTTGTGATGGATATGGAGGCGGGTTGTTTGGTTGTTGATACATCGGAGGCCTTTGAAAGACCAGCCCTCGATTCTCTTGATTATTGTTGTTACAACCCCCTTGATTGTTAGTACCGCCCCAATTACTATTATTGTTGCCGCCACAATTGCCTTGGTTTCCTTGGTTCCCCCAATTTTTATTGTTGTTGTTCCCCCAATTGCTTTGGTTGTTGTTGTTGCCACTATTTCAATTGCCTTGTTGACCTTGATATCCCCAATTTCCTTGTGCTCTCCACTGTTGTTGATTCGGAGCATTGGCCCGTTGACCTTGATAATTGTTGGCAGTGGAGGAAGAAGGATCTCCGCAAAGGGGTTCAAAAAGAAAAAAAAGTTAGAAAAATTGTAGCTAGTGGAAATTGAACCTATGACCTTACAAAGGTTTTGAACCCCCTTGACCACTAAGCTACACTTTTGGGCTGTGTTAAGGAGATTTAAAATTTAATATATAGAGGTAAAAAACATATTTTGCCTTATATATACAGTGTAATTTTTCGGTGAAGAGGATTAGGATGAACCCCCTTCCGCCCCTCTAAATCCGCCCCTGATTGTTGACATATTGCACCTCTTCACTTTGATCATCATAGGAATCATCTTGATTGTACCCGTTACCACTCTGCTCAAATTGGTCCAGATTATTTTGAACTTGTTGACCTCGTTGCCTTCTCTTGGTGATCATCATATTCACTTATTCCATAGCATTTACTTGTTTTGGCCCTTGAACTTGTTGCAGCTGAGCTTTGGCCAATTGGTTCATGGTAGTAGTCAACTCGGTTGTAGCTTGGTCATGGTCATGGAGCTCCTTATGTAGGTGAATGACATTAGGGTCGCCTTGTGGCACATTAGCTCAACTTTGCCACGCCAAAGAGGTATCCGCCATCTCATCAAGTATTTCACATGCTTTGGCAAATGACGTGTTCATGAAGTTCCCCCTGGCAAGTTGGTTAACCACATATTGGTTTGTTGTATTTATGCCACGATAGAATGTTTGTTGGATCATAGCTTCGGTCATATCATTATTCGAACACTCTTTAACCATCGTCCGATACCTTTCCCAAATCTCATGAAGCGGTTCATTTGGATCTTGTTTAAAAGCACGGATCTCATCTCTTAGCATCGCCATATGTCCCGGAGAAAAGAACTTTGCGATGAACTTCTCGGCCAACTCATCCCAAGTGGTGATGGAATGATTGGGCAACCTTTCTAGCCAATCCAAAGTTTTTCCCCTTAGAGAAGATGGGAATAGCCTTAACCTCAGTGCGTCCTCAGAAACGTTGGTTTGCTTACTCCCCCAACACGTGTCAACAAAACCCTTGAGATGATTGTAGGCATTTTGGTATGGAGCTCCGGTGAAGAAACCCCTCTGTTCCAAGAGTTTAAGAATGACATTGGTTATTTGGAAGTTGCCCGCCCTAATCCGGGGCAGGACTATTGCACTTGCATAGCCATCGTTGGGCAACACCCGGTGTGCTTCCCTTGCTGGATGTGGGGGAAGGTTTGGAATATTGTCATGAGGCAGTCGGCCTCTCCTTTGTTCTTGAGGTTCGGGTTTAATCTCATCCATGTTATCATCATCTACCTCATCCCCCTATGGCAAATTTTCGAGGGCATTATTATTAAGAGTCATTTGGTACCTAAAAGCAATTCACACACAAATCAGAAAAATGGAAGGAAGAAAAACAAAACACACAAATACTCGGATATATAGCTAAAACCATCTAACTCCCCGGCAAGGATGCCAAAAATTGATCGGGTCCAAGCCTGCACTACTATTGAGTAGCGAGGATGGTCGATGTAGTTTTACCCAACAAGATTGGGATCAAATCCACAGGGAGTTAAATTATTTGGAGTTAGGTTTATATCCAAGTAGAGATGCGGGTTTTGTTCTTAATTACTCTTCCACAATTGGTTGGTTGTTTTCTACTTCTACTTCTAGTCTATAGCACACAGTATTTGAAACTAAGTACAATGTTTTTGTTGGTTGTTTTTAAGGATTTAAATGGACTAGGGTAGTGACTTCCACCTAGGTTGATATCTAACGGGTAGCAAGAATCTAGGGCAATTATGTGATTAATTGGGTTCGTAATATAGCTATCACACCCGGATACTCACTCTATACCTCTCAGTAGTTTGTGATTTTTGCCCAATTCGGCTTTCTCAAGTCCAAATGGGTATTCATGCAATTCTAGTGATTTTAGCTCAAGTCAGGTATTACTATCTCTAGGTTTAACCCTTTAATTGGGGCTATCAATTTTTTGAGTTCACCCCAATTCCTTGTTATCCTAGTTTTCCTAGACTTAGTCCCTCTTTCTCAAGTAGAGACTAAGTAATAAAGGCATAAATAAGTGTTTGCAACTACTAATTCAATAGTTCTAGCAAGAACTAGGCTAAAAATTACTAACCCATACACATTCAAGCCCTAAAATTCAAGACCCATCAAATACCCATACTAGGGTTGGGTCACAACCCTAGCTATAGGTTTAGCTACTCAGGAAAATAGAAGAAATCAAAGATAAAGAGAAAATAAAATCCATGATACTAAATTAAGAGATGAACATCTACTACTATAAGGTAAATCTTGTACAAAATTTCCCAAATAGGAAAAACTAGTCGTCTCTCGTGCTCAGCAAAACATAACATAACCTAAAAATGTGAAAAAGATCTATTTATACTAGGCTGAAATTCTCAGACAAAAATGATCTTGTGGTTGTTTCACGACCGCGTAATTCTGACCGCAGCCGCACTCATGCTTTCACGACCGTGTAATATTGAGTGTGGTCCGCGTTTCTTTACATCTGAGACTGGGGTGGAACTTGTTTCGCGGACCGCGTATTTTTCATCGCGTCTGCGTTCTTCATTTTTGCATAACTTGCAAAGTCTCTGGTCATGAGCACACGCTGTCAGCGGAATTCCAATCACAGTCGCGCCAATAATTTAGTGTCCGCGTCTTTCTGTCGTTGTCCACGCCCATGCCTGTGCCCAAAACCACTTCTCTGAATCTCTAACTTCGCGGTCCACGAATTATGTCCGCCTCAGTGCTGATCCTTACGTCTGTGCTCGTATCCCAGTCTTGGATTTGTTCAAGTTTGACTCCTTTATGAGTTGATTATGGCTTCTTTGGCTCATTTTATACAAACCCTGCAAGCAAGCACATTAAGTTAGTTTCGGAGAATACCTTCATGTATTTTTTACCCAAAACCTAAGTAGAAGAGAGCAAATAATAAGCTAAAATCCCCACTTATCACCCTAGTTTTACAATAAAATATTTTTTTTATTTTGTCTTCTTTATCCTTGTTTTTGGTTCCAAGCAAGGTGGTAATAGTCTTTACCTTGTTTTCAATTGCGTGTAGTGTTTCTTTATCACATTAATTGATTCCAAGTGGTGACTTTAGGAACTTGTTTAGTTCTTGATCTTTCAAGAATACGTTTCTTGATCTAAATTCGTTCTTTTGATATCATAGAATCATAACTTTCATTGAACTGGTGCAGCATCAATATTTACTTGTTTAGAACGAGTAAATAGTCTTTCTTATAGTTCAGATCGTCATCTTTCACCTCATTTTTGAATCATCGAATTCTGAGTCCTAAAACTTGAGATACGTCGTTTCTTGAAACTGGCCCACAAACTACATTTTCGTTTCAAGATCTTGATCCTGGTCGGTTGGTTCTTTGTTAACTCGAAGAATCACATCATGAAATCTTGGATATTTGTTGGATATCCCACTGATCTCTCTCAAGGGTAAAGTTATCTTTGTGTGACCTATAGGTCACATGTTCAATCCGTGAAATCAGCCATTGATGTTTGCATCAGGATAGGTTACCTACATCATACCTCTTTGGGTGCGGCCCTTCCTCAGGTCCTGCGTGAACGTGAGATGCTTCGTGTATCGGTGTACTACAACAAATTAGGCTTTTAACCACACCCGAAAAGTGTGGTCTAAACTAACAGAAAGTATGATTTTTGATCATATACCACACTTTTCGACCTACGGCAACACTTTTCAAGGGGTGGCCTAACAAGCGTAACTTTTGCTCTAAGGCTACGCTATTCATAAGGCAAAGGCTACACTTGACTATGGCCACACTTTTCATGTCCTAAGGCTACACTTCTAAAGCGGGGTCTTTATTACCTCATAGGCCATGCTTTTCAAGTGTGGCTCCTAAATTAGCTGCACTTCTAAAGCATGGTCTTTGTTACTAAGCTTTTAAAAAAAATTATATTTTTTTGTATATATCCTATAATTGTATTTATTAATAAATACATATTTTATCACATATTTGAGGTCATTACTTAAGTATAAAGATCTCAAGTACTTCATTAATCAATAAAAAAAGAGATTGTTTTAAACACATACATGCAATTTACTTCGAAAAAGGAATACATTTCATATACTACAATCAACCAATAAAGCAAATTGCTTCAAGTAGCGTGCTAAATATGAACTTTACAAAATCAAATGTATTGTCCAAAAGTCTTCATCATTAACTTCAAATGGATCAAACCGACTTTGGCCACCACTTTTAATTGCATCACAAGAATTTTCCTACACATTGAAAAAAATCAAATATTAAATAAAAACCAATAGAGTGCAAACTAAAGGGAGAAGATTTCACATGTAATTTTCATACATTATGAATAATAATGGAGATTATCATCAGAACTCATTCGATACAACACAGGAACAATATGTTACTTAAATTCAATTCACACACCAGGTGCACTTGCCAAAATGTTGCATTCGTGGTAACATAACATCACAAAAATGCAATACGTGAAAATATTCAATCAGATCAGAAGCTAGACTACGTTTCTATTTTGATAGTGACTCAAAAACAGAACCCTCTAGTTCTATGTACTAGCAGTAGCACCAAGTGGAAATCCCTATGAAAATGGTGATACTAATGCATAAAAGAGAATTCACCATCCCAACAATAGTACTAATATCTTACTTTAGCATGTATAAAGAATAAATGAATAAAAAAGTACCCTTCCAAGAATTGGACTATGAGTTAGATCCAAAGGAATTTGAAAAAATTTGGTCTCTAGCAGCCTCTGCGTTACTTGAATCATCGTAGAAGGATAAGGTAGCTAACACATCTAAATGAGATATGATAGAAGTTATAAATTATAAGGACCTTGACTGATTCTATTGTTCCTTCAGTTTGAGTAATACTTGCGAAAAGTAAACCACTTTGATGTCAAGGTCACAATTCTTCATTGGCACATCAAACCTATAAAAGAAAAGAGTATTGTGAAATCTTTAGTTAGAAACGTTATTAGATACATTTCTTTATTTGTGGCGAAACAGAGAAAAGAAAATATTTCAGTACGTGTAATTTTTTATTTTCTCTCACAATATGAGAATTTTTTTAGCTACAACACTAATAAACAATTATATTAGAGCAAGCCTGGCTTTGGATTTCAATCAATACATATTTTCAGAAAGGAGACCTGCAAGTTGAATCACATCTTCTTGTCGGTAAACCACTGCAAAGTTTGATAAAAGACAAGAAATTCTTGGATTATCCATTTTATAGAAGTTTCGAAAGGAGTGGAGCTAGACACAAGATAACAATGTCTAGTACTGGCTCCCCTAAACTCGATACTACAAAAGGCAAGAATAATAGTTAGACATAAAAGAGTGCTTAAGTCTACAATTGTATCGAACTAGTGAGTTAGTTGACTATTACATAGATCTCTTATCATATACAAAAAGTAGTAGTACCAAAAAAACAGGGACAATTTTCATGTGCAAGAAAATATTATCTTTGACAAGCATAGCTATATTCCAGTATCATAGAGCATGTCTTTGACAAACACAAGTATCGTTTTGGTGGACGCCAAATGATTTTGAAAAACAAATGTTGGCTAAAATAGACTATTATAGTAGACAAGTAATTTCACTATATTAAGAACAAATTTACTTAAGACGCATATAGAATAAGTTTTACATAAAGAGGCAAATCACAAGTTCCAAAAAATATTTTGATTTTTAGGGGAGAGGGGAGGCCGATAATTTCTTCACTTTGTTACTAAGCTTTAATGAGACGTGATAGCAACAGACACTATGCTACAATAGAAAATGATACTTGTATTCTTTGCTTACTGAATTTTGTAAAAGAATTAAACATAATATTTAAAAAGGATAATGTCAATCTATAGATAAATACATAATTTTAGACAAGAAATTGTAGAATAGCATGAAAACATGGAAATGACAAACTCAACAATATTTAAGACTTCCAGGCAATTTAGACAGAAGGAAATTAAATTTCATAAAAGAGCTTCAAGGGTAGTATAAATCAAACATATACATAATTCAGGAAGAAGTAATTAAATCATGTAATATAGGACCATGAAACTACCTAGACTTTTTTTTTTCACTCTGAGACAATAATAGTATATGCCCATTTTACATACAAGTCAAGATATTTTATCTGCTGCTACTTTGTTCAAATTGTTCTTCCTCTAACTAAAATTGTATAATTTCTTATTACACTTCTATTGATTCACTATGTTCAATCCAAGCATGTAATTATTTAGTCAAATGTCACCGATCCAATTAACAATTTGTGTAGTCTCAAAATATTTGAATCCTCCAATAAAAACAAAAGCTTTTAGTTTTATTCAAGTCAATCAAGTTGAGTTTCATCAAAGAACTTTGATATAGCTAAATCCATGAGTTTCGTAGCTCTTTATCATTTAAGTTGAAAGTTCAAATACCCTTGGCAATCCCCTACTCTTCCTTCATTTCCCAGAACAAGCAAAACAAACTTGACTTTTTTTTAAAAAGAAATGCTTTATTGACAGGAATAAAGGTATTTAAAAGTAGGTAAAATAATTTAGACGATAAAGGCAGTATAAAAAAATTCTAATATAATGATTTCAAGCCTCTCATGCTAAACCCACAAATGATCTATCCAAAAACTGAGATTAAAAGATCTACAAATCGTTTAACTCAAGTTTTTCCCAAATTCATAAGAAAGAAACAATATCATAAATTCCCTGAGAAATTCATTTATTCTGTATTCCGAAGCAAATCTAAATACTACAATTTTTTGATTAAACCGAGAAACTGAATGAAAGTAGAATATCCTGTATATGGTCTCAAAAGAAATAGAAAAAACCTGAATGCCAAACCTTTCTTGTTGTCTTGAGAAACTGACTTATGTAACTCATATCTTAGGAGGAATCAAATAAAGTAAATTAGATCTCCTGCTTCTGAAGAGAGTCACAAGTGAAATCATTTTCTTCTTTTCCTTTTTTGACGAAGATTGGGTGCAATGAACAGTTTTTTTTTCTAAATCAAGTGAAGAAGGTTGTGGGTTTCAAACCCTAAAGTAAAGGGACAACTGGAATCGCTTAGACTTTTAGTGAAAATTTTTAGAGGGGAAGTGAGAAATTTTAGAGGGAATAGTTTAAGTGGGAAATTTTTGTGCTAATATTTTTTAATTCAGACCACGTCTGCACCGCATTACTTTTAATGTACCAAGGACAAGGATAACGCTTGTAAAGTGTTGCTTAATATCAGAATAAGCGTTCTCAAAAATTTTAACACTAGGCAACACTTGCAATGTGTAGTCTTTGCATATAAAGAGCACGCTTTACCGGTGTAGCCCAAACTCCGTTGCCAAAAGCTCTTATCAAAGGCCACCCTTACAAAAGCGTTCTTATTGCTACTTTTGGCAACATTTTTGAAGCGTTGCCTATAATAAGTGTTGCCTTAGGCCAATTTTGTTGTAGTCGGTGTCCTTTTTTCCCACTAATCCCTGTCATCTTGAAATTAAGAATAAAAAAAGGCAACCGGATGCACGAAGCATCCTACGTGGTCTAGGGAAGGGCCGCACACCCAAGTGTGTGATGTAGACAGTCTATCCTAATGCAAATATTAGTGACTGCTTTCACAGCTCGAACCCGTGACCTATATATAACCTCCACAAATATCCTCATCTCTAGATTTAGCAATCAAACGTTAGCTAACCAAAATGATCGAAACTACCTCAAACAATTGAGAAAATGATAGAAACTGCCTCAAACAATTGAAAAATGATAGAAACTGCCTCAGTTTGCATTGTCTGTTAAGATAAACTGAAGGCAATATTAATTTAACGGAAATAGCAGCATCTCAAAATTTTCTTCCCGTATTTTCCTAAAATACAAATATTTTCTTCACCAAGAATCCAGTCTTGACATAGCCAACCTTATTTCCGTTAAGAATCCCATTAACAAAAGAGGATTTAAATTATATATAATAGCCATAACATGTTTTATATTTCAGGTGAATAATCTTACTTATAGTGAACAGTGACCTATAATGAAAATTATTTTACATTATCAGTATTTAGAAGTTAAACTCAAATAAATGAAAAGGTTTAACCTGTATACATTTATCTCAGGTAAGTGAGCTTGATAATAATAGCAATGAACTGCTACGATGATGTAAAAGATTAATGCTTTTGACTGTATAGAGCCATGTGTCTGCTGGTTATAAGCAGAAGGTGCTTGCCCTTTGCACTCCTGATTTTATGTTGTTAAACCACCTCAAATAGAAAAATCAACCTTCTATTCTTTATTTATTTATTTAATTTGTCAAAATTGTGACGAAGAGTTGCTCCGGTTTTTAGAGTTTTTGGCTAAAAATATCTCTCAACTATGGCTCAAACCTAAGGTACATCCTTATCTTATTAGATTAAACAAAAAATATCCCTTAGTTATTCCAAAAATTGCAACAACCATCCTTCCGTTTAATTTCCGTCAAGAAACTAACAGCATAAACCAACACATGTGACTTCAACCCTCAATCTCCCAAATGTGTCTCTCAGCCCGATCATCTTCCACCTTCATAAACCTAAGACTTGGAAACTAAACTTTCTTTCATTTTTAACTTCATAAAATAATATAGAACAAAGTCAGACGAAGAAGATATTATAAAGGAGGTTATTCTTCTAAACCAAATTAAAACACGTGACTTCCCTCTCAATCTCCTGGTCAAAAGAAATGCTCAGAGCTTTTAATCATCATATGTTGGTGATGATTTATCATAGAAACAACTCAGTGAATTTTATATTGCTTTCTACCATACTTCAACTTTATGGGTATGTTTACAATTCACAGATTATGATAAGATAGAGGTTCTTTTGAGTCAAATCATATAACCTGAAGTCTACTATATAAACGAATTAAAATATGCTAAATTTAGTTCACTGAATAATGTGACCTGAAATTCACACAGAACGTGCATAAAGCATTTTACCAAAACAGGTAAGTGGCATCTCTGACTTAGCAGATCTTAATTATTGTATAGTTATTTTCTAGATTTTCTTAGTAAAGACAATAATCTCTTTCAAGATGAAGAAGATGTAGAGAACAAAAAACTAAACCAATCCCACTCGTCAACTACATTACCCAATTAAAACATTGTTGGAACAAGAAAGAAGAGAAAGATTATGGACTTGACTTTAATTTTACTTTTTTTCATGAAGCGTAAGTACAGCTTAGAACGGCAAATTGTGTCAAAACAATAGCTCTTTCAGTTTTAATGACGTAAAACTGTGAAAGAGTTGGAGTTTAGAATGAACAAAAAATTTTCAAAGCCTTGCTTCGGTGAAGGTTGAATACAAAGGGAGGGATAGAACAAGGAAATTTTGGGGAAAAGTCACATGCTTGACATGTGTTTTGGTTGATACCGTTAGTTCTTGACAAAAACTAAACGGAAGAATGGTTAATGCAACTTCTAGATTAGTTAAGGATGTTTTTTGTTTACTTTAGTAACACAAGGATGTACCATAGATTTGAGTCATAATTGAGCCAAAAACTCCTGGTTTTTACATAGCAATCAGATGAAAAAATGAAAAAAGGAAGGTTTAAATAGGCAATATCCCCAAATAGGGGTGGGTATAGTTTGGGCAAATTCGAAATCCAAACCGAAATCCGATTTTTTTTTGGATTTTTGGTTTAAATTTTCAGATTACGGATTGGATTTTAGATTTAATTTCTAAATTTTTTGAATTTCGGATTGGATATTGGATTTTGTACTTTTGATTTTTGGATATCCAAAAATCAAAATTTTTATATTTTATATTTAGTCCATTATCCATTTGCCAATAGTAATAAGTTCAACACCCTACCAATTAGATATTATCTCATATATTCAATATTAATTACTAAGTTACTGTCAAAATACTATCTATTTGGACATGATTTTACTATAACTGCTTCTTATCGGGCGTATGATTGTCTCTGCTGTATTTTTTTAATAATGATTTTATTACTTGAATAATTTATTTGGATGATTATTGCGGCAAGAATGAGGAACTTTTCAAGCAATTTAACATGAATACTTCATTTGGATATTTAATTTTTGTAAAAAGTAGAAACATCTCAACTTATTCGGTCAAAACCGAAAATCCATAATATCCAAACGATTAATCCAAAATCAAACTTAAAAAATCCGATTCAATCCAAACTTATTTGGATTGTCATTTATTAAATCCGAAAATCAAAAATCCAAACCGAAATACTCATATCTAATTCAAATTGCCCGAACGCTCACCCATATCCCCAAACTGCTCAATTAAGTTACAATTTAAATAACTACTATTAGATTATTTTTGTTAATTATATGAATCAGAATTAAATACTTATGAGCAAGAATGCATGTGGTTATTTTATTTTCAGGTGTTTTAAATTTTAGTTTAAATAAAAGCTCTACCTGTCGGATTATGAGCTGTATTTTGCCACGTCTAATCCACATAACCAATACAGCTATCATGTTTTTATTGTATAATGTTGTATTTTCTTTTCGTAGTAGGAAATGGAATGATTGAACCTACTAGTTAGTATGTTTTTATTTATATACTCACATCGTCCCTTGGAAAAATAATTATTTACAATGAGATATATGAAAGTAATAAATCTTATCGTTGTTGACCATTATAATTTATATTAACTTAACAATACTATTTAATGGGAAATTATTTTTCCAAATGTGCAAATGAATTGTGATCAGTCACAATCACTAGATTTGTTAACCTTAAGTAACTACAGCAAATGAAAATGGCGCTATCATCCATTTTGCCCAAGATCTGATGATCATCACTTTCCAACCATTAATTGTGTTGTTTTCTTTTCCTCTTTTGTCCGATATTTTTATATCAACAAAAATACTAAACTTTAGTATTAACATTAGTCATTGGATAACTTAAAATTTGAAGGAAAAATATTTTATTATTAATATCTCTTAATGATCTCTACAAGTCTTTATTTCCTCCACAAATCACCACACATAAAATAAGTTATCAATACTCTTATTTATAATAGTACGAAATCTATTTTAACTAGAAATAGGAAAGTATATTCTTATATTAGTTCTGACTACAAATCCTATTTAGACATAAATTAAAAAAATCAAATCCTAAAAAACGAAGGTTTTCTATTACAATTTTGAATTAGTTTTCCAATAAATTTTATTTAAAATATTTAGTGTTTTTTGAAAAATAAATTATTTATTACATTTTCTCTTCAAATATACCTTTATTGCGACTTACATCAGGTGGTCACTTATGCGGCCTTATATTTAGAAGTTGGCCACTTTATCAAAATAAGGCCTGCAGTCTAAATATTAGTTTTGAATATTTAACTTTAGATCAGGTGACCATTTTCGAAGAGCAGCCAATGGATTAATTTTAAGGAAGTGACGAACTTCTAAATTCAAATTCATAAAAGTGGCTATTTGTGAAAATATCCTCCACGCTGCTTCAACTAAATAAGATATTTGAGGGAGAAATAAAGAGTGTTTTAGATAAATATTTTTGTAATTAAAACTATTAAGCTTCTTTATTTAGGACCGTACAAAAATAATAAGAACCTATTAGGAAAGTCACACAGGAATTGAATTTTGGTGTAATTAGGCAGTTTGGCATATTTGTCCGGCCAAGTAATTACTTGGTCGGTATGAAATTGGATGTAATTGAGAGGGTGTAGTTACTTCTCTAATTTTCAAGGGGATGTGAAGATTGGTGGTAATTACACTGTATAATAAAAAAGTAATGTAATTTTTTATTTTTTTAAAAAATGTTAAGTACTATTCTTTTTATAATATTTTATTTTATTTCTCTTAATCTCATTTTAACCTTCCAACATGCTGCTTATGTTGTGCTTCCATATAATTTTGTAACTTCTCATATTTTGCTTCTTCCTTTTCTATTTTCTTTGTTTCTTTGTTGGTAAACACAATTTCATATTTTACTAGCTTTATTTTCTATTCATTAGTATTAAATAATTATTAAGAAGAAATATATATTCTAAACTCATATTTATCTTTTTATTATTCAAAAATACAAAATTTTATTCATATGAGTTGGTAAAATTTTAAATCCATAATCAAAAATTTTGTTAATTATTTTAAGTTAAGATGTTATTTATTTAAAAGATAGTCAAAATACCTAAAGTTCTTTCCGATATTAGTTACCATAATTATTTAATATTTTTATTTTTTAAAATATGGCTCAAATACCTGAGTATACATCATATCTAGCAT